ATTGAGTTTATGCTGGATTTCAGTTTCACCTGGTAATTGTTAATGAATTAATAGCAAATGAGAAGACAAAACATGGTTGATATTTTACATCCATCCAAGCAAGAACTCCACCAGCATTCAGTAAATGACACACGTTATATGTAAATTTTAGTGAATACGGTACCTGTGAAATAAAATAACCTATGGTTCCCTGGCTGAGAAGCCAACAGTCTCCAGTGAACCACGTTGCTGCTAACAGCACATGCACCAACAAGGAGAACAAAACTATTTGCCTGCTAAAATAAAACGAAGCAAACATCTCTGGGAAGTAAAAAGGCAATTCTGCCAGAAAAGTCTTGGTATTTTTGCCAGGAGTACGGCTAAGATTGGTCGCAAACGCCAAACGCAGCGGTGTTCGATCTAACGTGAGTCTTGTCTACGTCTAGGCTGAGACCAGCAAGTTGCTTCATCACAGGTCAAGGAAAGCTAATGCAGAAGGATTGACTGTTGCCTAATAACATGGGTCAAACATGTACCACGACATGGAAGTGGGTCTTCTTACCCAGCTATCCTTGCCTGATTTCTATAATGACCAACTGAAAAAATTAATCACAAATTAGAAGAACAAAAAACCCACCTAGGAGAAAAGGATTGAGTTGCATATCCATTTGCAGGATAAAAGCAACCACCCCCCTGTTTTTTCACAGGTGTAAGTAATGAACACTAAGATGGGGAAACTGAGGCAGAGCTGCCCATGACTTTCCTGACGTACCACAGTCAATATTAGATGCCACGGGCTCTTCCACCTGACGTTCAGACAAGACTCTTGTCCACGCTACAGAAAACCCTTCCCAACAGCAGGATGCGTTTGCACAGTTATATTGAGGCCACTGAACTCATTTTTGTAATACGTGAAATGTAACAATTTACGCAGATCTAGTTGTACCGTTTGATTTAAAGTAGTGATGAATTACGGTCCTTGCCCAGGAAACACTCGAGTGAAGCTCCTTCATTCAAATATGACTCTTCTAAATGAACACGAAGAGGACTACATGCATGGCTACCGTGGGATCCTCGCTCTTAACGCCTGCCTGTACCTCAAGTTAATTTACCCAATTATTATTTACTTACATGCCTTTCAGTGTGATTATGGTTCTCCCAGATAAGTACAGGCATTTAAATTTTCCGTTTCCTTTTAATTTCCCAACGTTTACACACTATAGCCTGTTCATTGAACTGTTTACTAAAGCCAACGCTTGCTCCACTTCACAAACCTCCTCCGCAGTTCTTCAGAGTTTTACTCCATCACAGCTTGTTTCTGGGCTGTGAACAAAGTGCTCCCTTCCCTCTTTGTCAAAACAAATATTCCTATATGCCGGAATCATCCATTTTACCTTGCAACACAGCACCTTAAATACAAAAAGACCTTTTTTCTTCAAAATTACTACCAAAATACAAACACGCACACGCTATGTGAGCTTAACTGCAGTTGGATTCTTGACTATTGCTTCAAGGAGCTTTCTTCAAACCCCTAAATCTCCTTTCCTAAGTCAGTACACTGCGTAACTACTCCATGTAGTGTGTATTCTTTGATTTAGCTTGCCGTCCCTTGGCATATTATTTTCATGTTTATCTACATTTTCAAGCCACTGACCAATTCACCTACGAGATCTACCTTTTTTCCACTGCTCGCCATCACTCGTTGGAGCCGCTCTGTAGATACAATCAGAAGAAGTTCAATCACATTCAACAGCCTCATCCTAATCCATGACCTGTTATAAACAAGCCAGGTTCCCAAATGAGCCTGAGTTAAACCATTCCCACCTCAGTGACTTAGCCACCCTCAGATTCTCAGAGCATAAAAGCAGAAATTCGGTGTGGCTGAATTCCATACATGTATGCTCTTAACAGTTATGTCGGTGTTTTGACAGTCTAAGCTGAATTATAGACCTAAAACTGGCTGGTGGTGGCTCCTCTTAAGTAAGGACACGTACCCATGAGGATATACTTTTTATATATTTACGCATGGCAAAAGCTGAAGGAGAAATAACGGATTTGCTCTAAACCACCAAGTCTGTGACTGAATTGAGAGGACTGATTTACCAAACCAAATTTAACTAACAGATTTTGAAAAATCACTGCCATTCCAAAGAACTGCTTGACGTGTGAGAGGTCGGACTACCTAGGCAGGCTGTAGCTCCCCGCCTGTTCTTTAATCTCCTGGCCAACCAGCCACGCAATGCACCATTTCTATTTCTGAAGAGGTTTTCTTCTTAGTTTTCAGCCCTTATAAATCTGATCTGTCATTGCAGAACTTCTAATAATATTAGATAAAACTTCACCAACCTCTCTCTAGAATAAACTATTTAATATCCTTTATTTAAGACGTGTGTGCAATCAATTCTGTGGTATTTACTTGTATTACACACACAGTATTCATCATCTTGACAATTTTTAAAAGTTTTAGAACACCGTTTCACTTAACAGTTTAAAAAAAAAAAAAGATTTATTTGATGGTTAACTTTGGAACAAGTTATCTGCATTAACTTCCATTGTTTTGGCATAAAGTAGTTCTGTATATTTTACTAACAACAGTGGAGACATGATAAAGGATGTGGGCAGAGAGCCATAAACTGCTCTCGCTGCAACCCACAGTGTTCGTGCAAAAGTATTAATTTTTAGGACTCTGATTGGAAGACATCTCAGTGCTCAGCCACTTGGATTTTGCTAAATACAACCATGTATAAAACCTTGTACCTGAATATAACAATTTTAACTGCGGAAAGACCATTGTAAATCATATGTAGTATAAACTTGTCCACATGATTGGAATGATATAATGGATATTGTAGTCCCTAACCACTAGCTAATGTTCTTTATGACACTTAAATAAATGACCTGAAAATAAACTAATAACACCACAAAATCTTCTAAACCTGTTCATGTGCATTTCCCAAAAGCATACTGGAGAAAGACAATGTCTAGTTAGCACTTTTTTTGTGTTTACACTTTCTCCAGAATATTTTTGCTCCAGCTATTCTATTTTCCCTCTTGCAGACTCGCATTCATTCTTTTCTGCCGCCTTCCAGAGGCATCTGTCCATCTGTACCTGCCCAGATCTCGGTCACTTATAAACATCGAGAGCATGCAGGACTTCTACATCACCATCCAGAAGTCTATAACCTCGATTAAAAATAAGCGCTCTGGTGTTTTATTTGCAGCCAGTATCTACTCCCAAAAAGATCTCATGAGAGTTTTTTTAAATCCTTGTCTAAATTTCAGAAGATACAACCGCAGACAGGCAGGTTATGGAATAGCAGAGCTGGGGCAGGAGCAGACATAGGCTTGAAAGACTGGATATAAGGAAGAAATTTTGTTATGATGAGGGTGGTGAAGCACTGGCACAGGTTTCCCAGAGAGGTGGGAGATGCCCCATCCCTGGAAACATTCAAGGTCAGGTTGGACGGGGCTCTGAGCAACCTGATCCAGTTGAAGCTGTCCCTGCCCATGGCAGGAGGTTGGACTAGATGAGCTCTAAAGGTCCCTTCCAACCCAAAGCATTCCATGATTCGAAAAAGCAAACTAGGGAGCTACTGCAGCAGATAGGTAGGATTTAGTTATCGAGAAGGATGCACCATTTTTCCCAACCCTAGTTACAACACACACTAGTCACATAAGAAAAATGCCACAGCATTCTATTTTTAATATGGGAGAAGGATTTTATTGTTATTAGTAACTGGTGGTAGAGAAATCTTGTATATGTGAAACTTTCCAGAAAAAATTATCACCAAAGCATATAAATATTAACACTTTCAACAGATTCCACAAGGTACTGTCCCTTATATTTAAAAAAACATGGAAAATGTTTTCCTTTTATGCATAACTTATATTTAAACACTGAAAGTTCAGAACAAACAGTGAGAGACGTAGATACCTAATTTTAGTATCGCGACTTGTCTTCCAAACTTTCAAAATTATCTTTCTTTTATTTATGCAGATATTTGAGGATCTCTGACACATTTACCAGTCAATTTGAAAACTTTATGAAGACTTAAAAAGAGTAAGTCTGGAAAACTTTCCCTTTTTGCATGCTGGGTATAGATGTTTAGTTAAACAGATGGGTTAAAAATTAAACTAAGTTCATACATAAAAAAAAATTCAGAGTTTCAATTTAAAAATTTGCCATTTCGAATAACAGATTCTTTTTTTAACTCCCCAATCTATATATTACATATTTTCTTTTCATTTATGCCATGAAACCCCACTCTGAGAAAACCCCACGTACTTCTTGAAGCAGACGTGTGCGTTTCCCCCAGCTCTTTCGTAACGTGTTGCCATGTTACATCGTATGTGTTTATCCACAGCGCTTTATTTACCCTAATGAAAAATTACTTATGGGAATTGGTTTCTTTTTCGTGGCACCAAGAGTCACTCTGTGCACCATTTTATTAAAAACAACAACAACAAAAAAAAAAGATGGAAGGGCCATGATGTCGCTGCTCGATGAATAGAAACCACATTAGAAAGGCTGACTGGAGTGCTGGTTTAGGTTAGATCAAATTAGCCAGGCAAGTTCTGTGTGTTGTGTACTGGTTTGAACAGTTGTTCTTGATGAGCAAGGATAATTTGTGAGAATTCATGTAAGCTAAAAAAAAAAAAATTTGAATTCATAAAAACTGGCCTTTCCCTAACTGTAGTTACATTTGGAAGCAAAGTTAAAGACAGTTCTGCAAGTGCCATGGATTTTTCTTTTTATTATTATAGTGCCATTAAAAAGTTCAAGCATAATAGAAGGAGATAGTGATGATCATACATATTAGCAACCTTCCCCAGGCCTTGGAGCTGGAGCTCACACATTTTAAAGCTGCCACATCTCCTTTGTCACTGCTGCACCGTCACGGCATAAGTTATAATTTAACAAACTCATTGTCTGAGAATTTCCTTTGTCTTTCTTTAAACAGCATCACAAATGTCTCTTTGCTAACTGTAATATTTTTAGTATAATTTATGTGACCTAAAAC